AAAAAAAAAATATATATATATATATATATATATATACACACACACATATGCGCCCCCACATGCATACACTGCTCCCACACACACATGAAAAATGAGAAAATCAAAGGGAAGTTCTTACATTTAGAGAAATAAAATCCTTATCCCAACAATGTGTCCTTTTTTCCATTCTACTTAACTAAAAAGGGCTCAAGTAAATACAGGGCTAAGATAAAACAAACTCAGTATCATTTGAATCATCAGATGCCTGAAGAAGTGCTGTGACCAATTACTGTTACTGTTTTATCCATGGAGCTAATAGAGAAAGGACAGAGAAACTCCAGATGCAAAACCCAGAAGTTCCAGGATGCAGACAAAAATTCAGGTCTAGATCTGAAAATGAACATTTTCCTTACTGGGAAATTTACAGAGTAGATTTATGAAGAATGTCGTTTGTGAAATTATGGAGTAGATATGTTAGGAATATAGTTTATAAAGAAAAATAACGTTTTAAATTTCAGAACAATATCTTTTACTTGTGTTTTAGTAAAACCAAGAAGCAAACACTGACTCCTTTAACTAGACAGAATACTTCGGAATCAATAAAGTATTCAACATTTTCAAAATAACTATGATACGGAAGTAGCATTTACAATTACTCTTTGAAACAATATTGTTTGGATATACAACCTTTGTAATTACATCTAAACAGTTGTGTGTAAGTGGTAATGAGTCATTAAATTGTAAACTTTACATTGTTTTATAATTATACCGAATTAATGGCTTTTGTATTTAACAGACATTTTATACTCTCATCATTGAAGGCTTGGTAACTAAAGGGGCATTTGAAAATCTATTTTCTAGATGTTGGTACATATTTAACAATGTATTAACACATGTCCTAATTGCTTTCTATTTTTGTGATAAAACATGCTGACCAAAAACAACTTGGGGAGGAAAGGTGTTATATTTTCCCATCATAGTTCACCAGTGAGCGAAGTCAGGGCAGGAAGGCACTGAGCCAGAGACCATGGAGGAATGCTGCTTATTGTTCTGCTTCTCCTGGCTTGCTCAGCTACTCTTCTTATACAGCTCAGGCCTACCTGCTCAAGGATGGCACCACTCAGTGGGCTATGTCCTCCTACATCAACCGGTAGTCAAGAAGATGTACCACAGACAAGGCTGCAGGCCAACCTGACGGAGACATTCCTGAGATTGAGGTTCCCTCTTCCCATGTGACTCTAGTTTGTTTCAAGTTGACACCAAAACTAAGCAGCACTTCACAGAAAGCAAAAACTAATCAAAATCTGGTAAACTTATTGCATAGAAGGGGTGAATTCTGAAATTAGAAAACGAAAGGCTGAAACATTTGCTATTTTTTTTTGTGCTTTTCAGCAATGTATAACTTGTGTTTCCTAGTTCACCACAGCCTGAAACACCTCAGAACTTAAAAGGCCGTTTGACTACCTTTCTCATAGCAGCTCCTAACCCTAATAGAGATAAGCTGCAACAACCTTCCTAGAACTCAATTAACTTTGTTCACACTGTTGCCTCTATGTCTTTTCTCCAATTCGTCTGCTCAGCAAATTTCTATTTATTACTTCAAAACTAGCTTAAAAGGCACCTTTTTAATATCTTCCTGTTGTTCTCAGGAAGAATGTCTCCCTGTTTCCATCACAACTTCACACCTCTGTTTCATTACACATACATCATAAATATCTCTCTCCCACTAATATATGTTAGCTTTTTATCCTTAACACCTAAGGTGGATCTTACCATATTTGTATTTCTTCAACAAAAGTTTGGTAAATAACAAAAATAGGACAAAAAAATGATGAACCATGTCATCAAGCGGCTTTTGATTAATACAACGAGCAATTTATCAATTTTCAATATACAAATAAACAATAGCTGTCTGCGTTTGTCATTACTAGAATTGAATGGTAAGAGAGCAAGCCTGAGAAGTCTTGGGTCAGAAAGAGAAGCCGTGGGGCTCTGAAGGATAAAATGGGTTACTTTAAAAGAAGATGCAGCTGATGAATGGTAGAGGGAAATATCTGAGTCTTCACACTTTAAACATCAAGCCCAGATCTCTTTATGCATATGGCACTCAAGGTCGCCCATAGCCTAGGTTCATTTTGTAATAATCCTTTATATTTCACTGTTTGTGCTAGTAAACAGAACATACTCTTCTATCCTTAGCTTGCAGGCCATCATTCCTAAGATTTTTCTGCCTCTCCTTCAGATCCGCAGAACTATTTGGGTGGGCATGGGGGCCTGCCTGTAATCCTAGCCTCAGAAGGCAGAGACAAGGGATCCTGGGAGTAAGTTACTAGTAAAACTAACCATATCTGTGAGCTCTGGGTTTGACTGAAATACCTTGCCTAAGAGAATAAAATAGAGGAGCAACTGAGAAGCATTCACAATATCAACCTTGAGTATTCACGCACATGTGCATTCACATGTGCCCACACATGCAAGCATCCATACACCCACACCTCTGCCACACACATATATGCACAAAAAGAAGAAAAATTTATTTAAAGTTGAAAGAGGAGGTCCATCAGTTCTGGTTGGAGCATGCACTGTCGGATTCTCTCCTTCCGAGAAAAGGCCAAGGCATGAGTGTTCTCAAAGAAGCAGTATCCTTCCTCAGTGAGCTTCCAGAGGCAAGAGCGAGGCTTTCCATCCAATCCATTTTCAAGCATGATTGTTACCTTTTCAAAGCAGGTCAGGGAGCAGAGGCTGTGGTGAATGGTGCTTTTCCAGCCCTCTGGTGCTGTCCAGAAGTAAGGGAAATGTAGTAGAGTAAAACTGTAGATCTGTTGTACATTGAGGCCAGATGAAGGGTGGTTTCTTAATGCTAGCGAAACTACATGGCTGTAGTTGGTACAGTGTTGGCTTCTTGGAACAGTCCTTTTCCTGAGAGGATGTGTCCTCTTGTTCCTCAGCCGCTGCCTCTGCAAAATCTGAGTCATTGGAGAAGGTGAACTGCTTTGGTTGTGGACACTGCTCGCTGGTAGAAACTGGTAGGGATTCCACCACTCCCTGAACCTCTAAGAAGTCAGTTTCTTCATCCTTTGGGAGTAGCATGCTTGGCAAATTCTTACTACTTCAATGTGGAGCCTCTGTTTTGCTGAGGGGGCACACAACGTTGGGGTTCACCCACATCCACAGGCTGGGTTCAATGGGAGGATCATCGTCGTCACAATTGGGTTTCCTCTCCTGGCGCAGGGCTGGTGATTTTGTTACCTGAATTTTGTGTTTGGCAAGGCTCTGCTCAGCTAAAGGGCACTGATCTATGGTACAACTCAGGAAGAACTTATTCCCCATGTTCCAGTCCAGCAGACCTGGGACTTGGCCATGGAGACTGTACCAAAAGTCACCATCTTTCAGATTTAGATCCATCTTTACTGGAGAGATAAAGGATTACTTCCCAAAAGATGAAAGTCTCTCGGGTACTTCACAAAGCTTTTTCTGGGGCACTGTTTAATGCAATATGTTTCATCTATGGAGATTATCAGTACGTTGGCTGGAAGTGCAAGGACACTGATTTTCCACTGATCAGCGGTCAGACTTGGAGAAAGCTCAGCTTTCTAGAACACAGCTCAAAACAGTAACTAAAAAGATCTCTTTAGATGAAAAACTGTTTTTGAATTTCTATCAAGTATTCTCTCACTGTTGATCTTGATAGCCCTGTAGGATAACAGAGTGCATATTGTTAACCTCATGCCACAGATATGGTAGCCAACATTTACAGAATATTTAGGACTGTATACCTAAATCCGTATAGAATAGCCCAAGTGTTTCTTATCATTTCATAATACCCACTGCTTACTGATAACATTCAACATACTATATAAAGTAGGTACCTGGGCTTTAGAATATAATAGTAAACCATAAGAAGATTGCCCTTGTTAGACTTACAGTCATGCTGGAACCCAACCTTAATGTTATCTTCAATCTACTTCTGAGATTGAATCAAGTGACTTCCATTTCCCCAGCTTATCCCCTTAGAAAATGTGTTCTAAGTTATACTCTAAACATAGTAGGATCAAGATTTTGCTATGCCAAGTGATAAATCTGCCTTTCAAATAGGTTCAAGCCAAAGAAATTTGTAAGAAAAAATAAATACAAGGGTTTCATCTCATCTTGTCACCTTTAAGAAAATCTACAAAGTATATGATTTCATTAAAAACATGAATGAAATTCTCAAAAAATAAAAATAATTTAAAAATTAAAAACACCATTTGAAAAACCAATTCATCATATAGGACTAGATACAAAGGTATCCAAAAATACCAGTGGGAACCAATGAAGGAGCTCATTAATTCCCCGTGCTTTCCCCACTTTATGGTAAAATTTGCTCAAAATTATCTTTCATATAAGCTTCTAGAGTGGTCTTTCTATTGCATCAGTATAAAAATTAGTAACAACAATGGTATCAACTGTTAAATGTTCTAAGTATGTTATGTGATTTAACTCAATGCTCAGAATAACTCTATGAAGTAATCATTGCATAAGTCACCCAGCTAGGTAAAAGTGAAGCTTTCAAACTTTGGCAGAGCATGTGTGATTCTACTCACTATACTAATCTCTTGGGTTTTTGTATCACAACACAAAATCCTACAACTTAGTGCAGTATGAAAGGCCCTCCAAGATCCCACCCTGCTTTCCAAATTATCACTTTAGCATCCTTACTTCATATTTCATATGCCAAAAATACTAAAATTCTTGGCTTTTTACCATATGCCTTGACTATTTTTTCTTTGGTCAAGAACTTCTGCTTAGAATGGCCTACTCCCAAGTACCATGGTTTAACTAATCATTACTCACCTTTTTTGAAAATTTTAATTTTAATTACTATGTGTGTGTGCATGTGTGAATGATGGGGGGGGGGGTTATGCATGCCATCGCATGCCTGTAGAGATAGAGGACAACTTAATAGAGTTGGTTCTCTCCTTCTACCTTTACATGGGTTCTAGGGCTCAATCTCAGATTGTTGGATCTGCACAAGCACCTTCACCCACTGAACCATCTTGCTGCCCCCCTACTTATCTTCTAAGATGGTAGACATGCTTCTTTCACTTCCACACAGGGAATTAATGGATTCCCTTTACAGTGGGGCACTGGGCTGGGCAAAACATGAGGTAGAACCTGAAATATTTAGGTTATTTTGCTAACAGATGTGTTGGCAACATTTGAGCTTTCAGCCATCCCTTTATCCTTAAATGCAGGTTCTAGTGTTACAGAGTGTCTTTTTAATCCTCAGAGAACACAGATTACTTAGTAAAACCAGCTCATCACTATGTATTTCGGGTGGGGGGGCACATACCATGGTGCACATGTAGAGGCCAAGTAGTGTGTAAAAGATCTTCCAGATGAGTAAGACACAACCCAAGAGGATATCAAAGGACGGTGAGATGGCAGACAAATAAAAACTGAAATAAAGCATAATCAGTGCTAGATACTATTCTAAGAGAGTATAGACAGGGAAAATAACTCAGATGACAGCTTTCAGAAGGGATTCCCATTGAAAGTGTTTCTTGACCATAAATGAAACATTACTTAGGGGCAGAGACATTGAGAACAGGCTAGTACACACCAGGTACCTGGAATCTTGCGTCTTAAATCTGCTCCAATAAAAAGGAGTTGGGAGCATATTGCACACATTCTGAAAAAAAAAAAAAACCTTAGAATTCACATTTGGTTGGGTGTGGTGGCACATGCCTGTAATCCCAGCACTTGGGAGGCAGAGGCAGGTGGATCTCTGTGAGTTTGAGGTCAGCCTGGTCTACATAGCAAATTCCAGGCCAACAAGGGCTAAATAGTGAAATGCTATCTCAATAAAACCCCTCATATTTGTAGGTATCCTGTTCTCCACATTCTCATCTATCTCAAGTATCAATATAGACAGAAATGTTAATGATAAAACTTCATATTGTAAGCCAAGTAGCATACATAATAACATAAGTTTAATTGGGAAAGTGTAACTCCCGATGATTGTAAAAAATACATTTTTCTATGCCATCTTCTAGGCATAACAAAGCCATTAAAATCATGAACTCATAACAGCTGTGGTTGCCTGCACTGGGTCTATGTAAGATTGGCTCTGTCAAACATCAGTCACGTAGGAGAGGAGTCATTGTCTTCAGTTTTTAAAAAAAATATTGTTTTTTATATGAGTGAATGTATTGCTTCCATGTGTGTAAGTGCACCCGTGTTGTGCAATGCCCAAGGAAGTCAGAAGGAGTAGGATTCCCTGGAACTGGAATTATGAATGGTTGTTAGCCACCATGTGGGTGCCGGGAATTGCACCCAAGTCCTCTTCAAGAGCAGTCATTCTTAACCACTGAGCCATCTCTCCAGCCAGTTCCTATTTATATTACTCTTATTAAGGGATACATGGGTTAATTTTTTCAAATAAATTTAAGATTTATTTTATTATTTATGTGTATGCAATCTGTATGCTCATATGTAATTAAAAGTGTGTGCAGGTGCCTCCTGAAACCAGAAGAGGGTATCAGATCCCCTGGAGATGAAGTTACAAGTGATTATGAGTTGCTCCAGGTGGGAGCTGGGAATCAAACTCAGGTCCTCTGGAAGAGCAGAAAATACCCCAAATATGGGTTCTTAAACATGAATGTGTCATACATAAATCATACTGGAAGATAAAGAAGAGTAATGTTAATGACCATACAAGGAAATACTTTCTTGAGAATGGATTTTAATTCTTAATTTAGAAGGATCTTGAATTCTACAATAGTAATTCAAAAGCCTGAGTCTGATTTTGACTTTCTTTATTACAACACGTTGAAAGTCCTGAAATGGTGGAGATTATTTATTTAGATTATTTATTTAGATTAATTTTTCAATTATAAGATATGCTGAAGGCCAGTGACTCCTTGTTCATTATCACTTACTGTTTGTTCTCCAAAGATATGACCTCAACTTCATGGATAAACAATGGAGATTCTATAAAACAAAAATCAAGTCAAATGAAAAGCTTGTCTACATGGCGATATCCTGGGACAAATTTCATATAGCCCAAGGCAAAAAGTTGTTCTACAGTTAAATTACTTGTCAAGAATATAGTGAATACTGAGAAAAGTGTCAGGCTTTAAGTCCAGTATATGTTTCATATCATCTCATCTACCTTATCTCATTCTCAAGAGGACAAGTCACAGCAATATACATATATTAAACACGTATCTATTGTAGCCAGTTCAATTTGGCATAGTGATTTTACATATTTGGTAACACCCTCATTTGTGTTTCAAACATACATTCATTGCAAAAGGCAATAAAACTCAAATATAAGAAAAAGAGTCTCATTAATCTAGAAACTTCACACACACACACACACACACACACACACACACAAAGAGAGTGAAGATGAAGCCAGTGGCTTCCTGAGTTTTGGATTACCACGCAGGAATTAGAACTCCAGAGTGTAGCAGCGACCCAGAATTCTCATCCTGAGATTTAGTAGAGGTTGGAAAGCCGGAGTGCCAGAATGAAGCAACCAAAAATATTTTAGAAAGGGGGGGGGTCTGTGTTAAACATTGGTCACTATGACAGAATACATACAGAACTTGGGAAAAGACTTATTTTGGCTCATTCCAGAGGACTGGATCACAGTTCCAACAACCCTAAGGGGGCAGCTGAACTCTGGGAGCACTACCCTAGGTGTGCCCTATCCCACCAGTTTTCTTTTCAAAATAGTCTTACAAATGAGTTAAAAAAACCTTTACACTCTTGAGCTGGATATGGGTAAGGTCTGGCCAATTTCTCAGATGCCAAAGAGACATCTTTCCTAGTGCCTTCATACAAAGCACTTGTCTTTTTTTTTATGGTCCTAATCACTTAAACAGTCACAATTTCCTTGACCTCAACTCTCAATAGTCTTCTAAACACATAGAGAGATTTTTGAACCTTTCCAAAATTCAAATGATGGCCCACCTTAAAATTTATTTCACCAAGTTAGTCCTTTACCTTTTAACTTCTTCACCAAGTCTTAGGATATAGATAAAATGCACATAATTTCTTTGTCAGACTAAATGCCCTCTAGTCCAATTCCCAATGAGCATAGTCTTCACTGAAAGTATTTATATAAGCATCCTGGTCTTCTGGGATCCCTGGTACCAGAGTCATCCATTACACTCTGCTTACAGTGTTCTAGGCTTTCTCTAGCTCATAACACCAACTTATACAAGGTCCTTTGAGAAATTGGTTCCAAAAACTTCTGATGAACTACATGGTCAGACACTCATAGAAATGACCCCAATTTTCCAATTTAGTTGTACTTTTCTAACTGTGATAAAGTAACCAAAACAAATTAAGGAAGGAGAGATATATTTTGTCTCATAGTCTCAGTACATAAGGAAAGGGAAAGTATGGTAAGAACA